ATGTCGCGACCGCGCCATAGATGTAAGCAAATGCCAAACAAGCCTGTGTGCGTGCCGACACTTCATCCGTGACTCGTCTGCCGTGAGAGATAAAACTGTCCAGATAGCGAAATTCATTTACTTCTATTACTTCCCCAGTCAGTGAGGTTTGGGGCTGGACCATCATCATTATCACTGTACCGCGTAATACAGTGAAGCCAACTCTGATCGCTCTGCTCGGGGACCGTGCCTGTTCATCGCAGTTAACCATCCTTTTTTAGTGGTACTCGAATTGATGATACAAATATCATCTTTCCCTGTTTCTGTCATTTGTTCAATGATCAGACAGACATCTTGATATCCAACAGGTGATACCTATTAAAATATTTTGCTATAGACTTAATGATACGACTGAGTATTAACAATAATCGTAAACGAGGACTGCAGGTAACTGTTATGCGGCTAAACGTTTTCTGAAGTAATTACGGCCTATTCGGGTTCACTACATCATTCGTGTTGGAGTGATCGATACCCCAATGATCACGTGCATCAGTAAATATGCATAACAAGTTGAATATGCGAAGTGCGCGATCGCGCTTGACTGTCACTCCTTAGGTCAAGGAACCACGAACACGTTGCAGCGCTTATCTATTATGCTGGTTTTACAATAGTTGTATGACATATAACCACCGTGACTCATTACCTTCAAGGTCTTCAAATGAAGAATACGAAGTTAAGTAAATTGGACAAGTTATGAGTGGTATAACTGTACGTGTTTGCTGTAGAAACCCTTAATTCCGCAATGGACATGGGATGACATTGCATGAATGAAATTAACGTTTAATAAGTGAGTTAATTTACTGTACAGAAGTATATAATGGGTGGCGAAAGGCCAAGGGGGGGGGATCAAAATAATACTCACTTTACTTTACGGCGGCTGGCTCCCGGGAGAGGATAAGCCGGCTTCACGGATATCTCGAATTGCCGCTGCCCACGCCCGGCGATCTGCGGCAAGATCAGCTCATATTGTGATTCAGTTTGATTTCCATTGGCGAACGCCGTAGACAGAGCAGAGGCCAAGGTTTTCGGTATCCTTTCNGTGTCGAGCCAGGTTTTCAGCTGTCCACCGAGCCGACATCGCCAGTTCGGGCAGGGAGACGGTGCCAAGACAGCTTTCGTCAGGTCGTTATCAGGCTTGCGAAGAATGTGGCCAAACCATTGCAGTCGTCGGCGTTGTATTAGCGTCCTCAGCCGTATAAGATTAAAACCGATTTCTGACCACTTCATTTGAGAGTTGATTTCTCCATCGAACTCCCAGAATGATTGGTAAGCACCAGTGATCGAAGACTTCTAATCTGCGACAGTCTTCGACTCTGAGTGACCAGGTTTCGCAGCCGTATAGCAAAACACGACGGACTGCTACGGAGAAAACTCGGATTTTTGTTTTGAGACTGGTTTCATTTCTGCGCCAAAGGGAATTCAACTGTAAAAAGTCCCTTCTTGCAGCGTCGAAGCGCCTTTGCACCTCATCTTTAGCTTGGCCGTTGGGGAGAATGGTTGAGCCCAAATATTTGAAGCCTTCGATGAATTCGATCCACTCA